ATATATATATATATAATATTTTCTTACTATTTGAAATTGGTCCAATCAGTTCCACTAGTGGTCAGACCACTTTTGACTGGATAGGTCGAACTGGACAAGATCTTTGACAAGTCATTGGCTGGTCCGGCACTAAAGACATTGTTTCTAAGTGTGAGTGCAGAAGAGATGGTAGCTAATTAAAAGTTCAAGGGACATCATCTAAGATACCATGATACATAACATGCTAAACATACAAGTGTTAACCAAACTTCCCATGATACCTATAGTATATGATATACAATACGAATAAATAAAATTATGGATTTTGATGTGATTAATCAAAATTTATGATACGTCTATACAGCATGATATAATTTGAATATTTTAATATCTATAGCTAGAGCATACAACATGATACTCAAATATAAAGCAGGCAAGGTACTAACAAAATAAAGAACCATAAAGATATATCATAACTCTATAGCTATATATCATAATTTAGGTACCATATAAGCAAACTCATACTTTGTATGCCTGGCCTGGATTTTTTTGATATCCCAGCTCCATGTATTATGTCCATATCTATGCATTTTAGGCCAGCATGTTGTCATTTTCTCCAATACCTAGACAGATAGATAGAGATCTCATGGCTCTAAAGCAGTTTTAGGAACAATGCAGCTGTAGTAGGCCTTGCCATACATGCTCTTTCCTTCATGCTGTCATCCATTTAAAAGTTCCTTATTGAGTCGCTCTTCCAGCTTGATCCCTAAAAGATCTCGAACAAAAAGTTTAGATAATCAAAGAACTTAGGACTACCATTGGTATTGTTCCAGAGATCTAAGGGAGTTCTGTTGAAGCTTATCGGCAGTTTAAGAAGTATGTTTAGTGGACAGCCCCTTCATCAGGCTCTCTTTGCTTTCCAAGGGCTTGTTCTTCTAAATTATATTTTCCTTATTTTACAAACAAAATTGTTTTAAGTTCCCACTGTGCTCAAGTCAAGTAACACAAGGAATCTACAATCATGTTGACAAACAGGGCGTTGAGCACATATGATTTAACCTCCTAGGGAGGTTTGTTTCAATTTAGTTCTCTCTCCTATTTTTTCCTTGCATCATGTCATCCTATTTGTTTCCTTTCTCTCACTCTCTCTGGAAAGCTCATCGACTCCTTTAAGAACTAGCAGTTTTGAAAGTCCAATTTCTTTTTCTGAAAATTGGAAAATGTCGTTCTTGAATATTTTGTAATGTCTTCCTTGCAAAGTCTTATGGTATTGCATCAACCCACTAGATAATTAGTAGCAACATGATTTTAATGCTTCTTAATTGTTCTGTCTCATGTAGGGTTTGATTCAACTGCTTGTACTGTGAAAAGTGGAAGCATTTTTCATTGCAGTTGGAAATTTATACCAGTCTGTTATGGTGACCATAGTAGAACTCCGGACGAACATTTAAAAAACCAAATTATAACCTTGGTAATTCAATAAACCAATGCTCAATTACTCAGCATGGGCTCAGGAATCAGCCCCTGCCCAATCTGAGTAACTCGGGCAAGTCGGAGTGTATGCGCCTGAGTCATGTAGGAGCCCAAGAAGGGTAAAAAATAGAGAAATAAAATATATAAAATTTGCTAAAAAAATCAGTAAAAAGCAACTGAAGCTATGGTAAGCATTTAAAGTCCATAAAAATGGAAAAAAAAAAAAAAAAGTATAGAAGAGGGAATATGAAAAAAAATTCATTTATAGTTTGAAACAATTCAGAAAAATAAAAAAAAAGGAAAAATAGAAAAATACGGCATATAACCAGAAAAATTCATAAATAATCATAAAAAACATAAAAATTATATAGAAATATATTTATACATCATCTCTTAGCGATTTAGTAATAAAATTATATAGAAATAATATCACTTTTTAGTTAGTACACCAAATTCGCCTCGGCACCCTGCCAAGGCCAAGTAAATTGGCTGACTTGAAGTCGACACGGCTGAGTCTTTGAACACTTCTATAAACACATAGAATGTCAGCCAATTGTCTCAAGTGCTACTTTAAGCAAAAAAGTATCAATATCTTTGTGACACATATTGCTTGAGGAAATTTTAGTCGCACGAAGTGAGAAGTAGGGGAAAGAGCAAGTGTACGTTGTAAGGATTTCGTGGAGGATGGCTAAGATTGAAGAATATGGTAAAGAGGCAGTTCCTAAAAATCTTGAGAGAAAATGTAGGTTTTAAGGATTTGATGGAGGATTGCTAGGATTGAAGAACTGCAAAAGGCATGAAATCATGCCTAAGGTTTTATCTCCTTCCAAAAATTAAGCAAATAATTGGTTTTAAAACACACAAGAAAAGGGTTCTTTTAATACTATTTACACAAGAATACGGAGCAAAATGTGAATATATCCAGACCGGCACTAAAGCACCAACTGTGAATATGCATTATCTATCGCCAATTCAGTGATCTAGGAATGTTTTCCATCTACATATGGCGCAAGCATTCATATATAGAAAGCATCAGGAAGAAATATAAATGGACCTTACCACAAGTTTAATAAACTTCAAGTCTTGAGAAGCCTACTGTTATTATCTTCAAGCATGAACATTTAATAGCATAATAAATTATCAGTGGTCTCCAAATGCATGCTCGTGTCGAGGATGATATCGTTGAGATATCCAAAGAAAAAGTTCAATTGTAAAGAGAACAAAAATGAAGCAAAAAAATCATCTAAATTTCAGAATTCCACTTTCCTAATAGACCAAATTTCTGGACTACTTGAGCAACATCACAGCCCAAATTTCTGGACTACTTGAGCAACATCACAGCCCAAATTTATGGTACATTTCAGGCAAATTCCCCATCTTCATAATTCTAGGCCAAGCCAAATTTCAGCCTGAGTTCGTTGAACTTTAACCAATTCATTCTACCAACTATTCCTCATTTCCTGGGAGGTTTGGGCCAAATTTTGGAAAATTTTCACCAAATCTGCCAAAAAAAAAGAAGAAATCTCGCGATTTCAGTGCAATTAATAAAATGAGATTCTTATTGTTGCCAGATTTTGATCCTAAGTATTGGCATTATTTTCACCACCAAGAAGGGTCCAATAAAAATATCTTCCATTAAAGCGATCCCAACTTTCACCTTATTTTCGGCAAACTTCAGACCTGACAAAACCCAATGTAATCTATGTTTTGGGAAAAATTTCAGTGAAATACTTCTATCTCGACTCCCATCCAACATCCAGTGAAATACTAAACTGCTGAAACAAAATATCACCAAATTTTCAGCAAACTGTTTCTTTTTCCTTTTTCTTTTCTTTTTTTTACTTTCTAGGGAATCCATTATTCTACCTAATGAGAGAGAGAGAGAGAGAGAGAGAGAGAGAGAGAGAAAGACCTGTGTGAGCTTAGCATTCAGAAGGCCTTCACTGTAGGCCCCTTCCGCCGGAGACCTATTCTCGATGGCTAAGACGTCATCTTTGTACCATAACAGCAAAATGGTCTCTCCACTCTGTATAATCACACGCCTTTCTCCCTTTGGCAGAGCAGCCAAAGGGACCACAGGAACCCAATTCACACCATTGGAATCAGACTGCTTCTCTTCTTCATCTGATACAACTGAAGCCTCTGTTGCATCGGATTTTATGGAGAGATGAATTGACGGGGGATAGCGTTTCGTGATGAAGGATTTGTGGGGGACAAGACAAAGAGGAATTCGGGCTGAGGGGTATTTTCTGGAGTTGAAGGGAGGTGGAATTTGGGGTCGAGGAGTGAGAATGGCTGTGAATTCCGAGGCCGCCATGGTTGGGGTGGAGAGAGGAAGGATTTGTCAAAAAAAAAAAGAAAAAAGGAGAGAGTAAGGGGGGATGGGGTAGAGTATAGACCCCACTTAGACAGAGAGAAGCATTATGGATCAGGTTTGGGTGAAGAGAAAGAGAGACCAAACTGAGAGACAGAAAGTTATGCGTGTAAATTAGTTTTAACTTTAGAGAGAGGAGAGCATAGACTCCACACAAACACAGGGTCAATGTGGTAGTATTCCAGAGAATCCAGACCACAAAGAAAGAAACGGCACTCTGTGTGTGTGAGAGAGAGAAGTCTTCCAGAAAACAAAGAAAGAAACGGCAATGTGTGCGTGAGAGAGAGAGAGAGAGGGGGGCACCTTGGTGCAACGATGGGGGAATGAGTAAGCAAGGCCACTAGTTTGGAAGTGTAGACAAAATCAACCGTTTGATAGATTTTAAAAACAATGACCAAACTGCCCATTACTATCAACGCAAGCATCCCTACTCCTTGGGGCCCATGATCACTAACACTCTCTCTCTCTCTCTCTAGAATTTCTTGTTTCCCCTTCTCTCCCTGGAACTCTTCCTCAACTTCATTGTAAGTAGAATCAGTTTCGTGGTCCTCTTCTATACCCAATTTGCTTCAAAGCAATTGAATTGGAGCCAAACTCACTATTCTCTTCCATACCAGCAATCTCTCTACAATTCTTACCTTCAAGTCCTTAAACCATCATTCTCTCTCTAGAACTCTGCCACCATGTCATGGATGTAATCTCATTTGGTGGTTCTCCTCTGCATCAGAAACAATGTATCCCCACCCCACCTCTCTCTCACCAAACCATACTCCACTACTCATCAATGTCGAACAAATGCAACCTTCTCTCCTATTCATGACCTTCCCAAACCAGTCCATGCTTCAACCCCTCCAATACAACCTGCATCTCTCTAAACTGCACGTTCGACATATCCCCAACAACAAACTCGTGCCTGACCCCGTATATTTCGATTGAGCTGCAGCCCGGAACCTTTCTCACTCCTCTCTCTCTCATTCTCTCTCGAATTTCTTCTTTCTCTCTCCACCTCCCAGTCGCCCCATATATATTTGAAAGCAGAACATAAGAGCTACTGTCATAAGGCTCCAATTCTATCAGTTCCTTTGCTGCAAGCTCTGCAATTGTGATATCCCCATAGTTAACGCAACCCCAAAGTAGAGCTCTCCATATATATTCATTTGGCTTCAAGGGCATGGCCAGCACCATTTCTGTGGCTTTCTTTAGTAGACCAGCTCTACTGAGAAGATCAACCATGCACCCATAATGTTCAATTTTGGGTTCGATTTGGTGCTTCTCTCTCATCATCTCGAAACATATATAGCCTTCTCTCACTAGCCCCGAATGGCTACAAGCGCTCAAAACACTAATGAAGGTCAAATTGTCGGGTTTCACCCCTTCTCTCTCCATCTTTAGAAACAATTCAAGTGCTGTTTGCCCATGTCCATGTGATGCCAAGCCTCCTATGATTGAATTGTAGTGATCCAAGCTCTTTCTAGAGAGAGAAAGAAACACTTTCAGAGCAACCTCCACACTGCCACACTTGCAATACATGTCTATGAGAGCAGCTCCAACCACCCACTCAATGGAAATATTCTCTCTTTCTATGTAGCCATGGATCCACTGGCCTTGCGCCAAACTACCCATGTCAGATATTGCAGAGAGCACCGTACAAATTGTGGATTCATCAGGACTTTTTCTCTCTACAAGCATTTGTCTAAAAAGCCCAACTGCCTCAACATTTCTGCTATTCCTTCTATACCCCCCAATCATGATATTCCATGAAATCACATCTTTTTTGGGCATTGATTCAAATAATTGAGCTGCACTTTCATGAAAACCAGCATTCATATAAGCAAAAATCATCGAATTATACGAGACCAAATCTCTCTCTGGCATTTCTTCAAAACAAGTTTGAGCATTTTCAATATCACTATATTTTGAATATCCATTGAGCATAATGTTCCATGTGATTGAATTCTTGCAACCCATTTGGGTAAAAAGCCACAGCGCCTCGTCAATTTCGCCATTTTTCAAATAACCAGCAATCAAGGAGTTCCAAGCTATCGGGTTTTCTCTCTCTTGAATCATGTCAAAAACTTGGCGAGCCTCTTTGAGATCGCCCCATTTGGCATACCAATTGACCAAAATGCCAAAAGAGATTTCATCTTTTATCGGGCTCTCGTCAAAGAACCTTTGGGCAGATACCATGTCCCCCATTTTTGCATAGCCCTCAATCATCGCATTCCATGAGAACCCATCTCTCTCTACCATTTCATCGAACAGCTTACAGGCTTCCTCTAAAAAGCCAAGTTTTATATACCCATCAAGTATTTGATTATAGGCCATCAAATTCTTCACAGGAATCAGTTCAAAGACCAATTTTGCAGAGCTCATTGATCCACATTTTGCATACATATGAACCAGAGATCCCTGAGCATGGATATCATACTGTTTTGAGGTCTTGGCTATGCGACAATGAACCATTTTGCCCTCATTCAAGGCTTTGAGGAGAGCGCAGGCCTTGAGGGCAAATGGGTAAGTGAATTTGTTAGGTAAAACTCCATTTCTGATCATTTCACGGAAGAAGAGGATGGCATAAATGGGTTTTCTTCTTGAGTAAGCTCTGATAATGGAGTTGAATTCGATCTGGCTTAAAAGAGACCATGAATCGTTTAGGCCATTTACTATGAGTTGGGCATGGAGAATCTCTGGCTTTTTCACCACTTTCATAATGGATCTGCATTGTTTGAGCGGATGCAGTGTTATTTGGTGCTTTCTTTCACCTTTTTTGAATCTGAAAATTGAAAATGGCACTTAGGATTCGCTTTTTGTCTTAAAAAAAAATCTATCAGAAAACTCAATAAATGCAGTAAACATTTGGAAAACAACTGAAGAAAAAGAAGGAAAAAGAAAACCTTAAATTATTTTCACTTGGTTTCATAAAAAATTGATGTTCGATTATTCTTTTTGGATAATTTGTGTTGTTTATTAATGATTGTATAATGTCATCGAGATATGAGATAATCAAAACAATCAAAAGAACGACCCTCCTCAATCCCTTTGCCAGAATTTAGCAATGATGTCATTAAAATACCATTTCTGATCAGTTCCATAGATGATCTCAAGTAAGAAGAGAAATGGGCCTAATGTCATGGAGACACGAGAGGACCGATTTCTCTTAGTTGTTGAGTTAATTGCCTTAATGATAACTATCTCCTCACCCGCTTGCGCTTCTTACTCTTCAACTTTCTCTTGGTGCAAAACTTTCGAAGGCACATTAGAAAGGTTACAAGAAAGGAGCTTCTCACTCGAAAATGCTTATTGGATGAATCGCTCAGAAGCATTCTCTGTACCTTCTTGATCATCTTCTTTCACCCCAAAGTACAAATATCAGCTAAATTATTTGTTCTTTTTGTATATGCTTTCACCCGAAAGTATAAATATCAGCTAAATTATTTGTTCTTTTTGTATATGCCGTAGCATGGAAGAATTTTATATTTAGATTTTTATATTTAAATTATTTTACTCTTGACCTCCCCCTCTAATAAATCTCAATTTTGTATTTAGATTTCCATATTTGAGTTATTTTGCTCTTGACTCCGCCTCTAGTAAATCTCTTCTCATGGAGAGAGTTTTGAATGATGATTCTCTCAATGCACTTTATTAAGGTTGAAATTATC